TCTCTGTTTTATCTATGTTCACGTGAAGTCCTATCTTTGATGCTTCTTCTGCCAACTTGTTACTTTTCATTTGCATATCTTCCAGTTTATGGGAAATCAGACATATATCATCGGCGAAATCCAGATCCTCCAAGTCTTTTGTGTCAGTCCATTTTATGCCTGTTCCCTCGTTGGTTGCCGTTGTCTGTCGCATTATCCAATCAATTGCAATCAGGAAGATCATTGGTGATAGTAGACAGCCTTGCCTCACTCCCGTCCTCACTTCGAAGGCTTCCGTAAGTTTCCCGTTGTGGATTACTTGGCATGCAGCATTGTCGTATAACTGTTGGATGAGGTGTATAATTGTCGATGGGACCCCGTAGTAGCGAAGTAGTTTCCAAATGACCTCTCGATCGACGCTGTCGAAGGCCTTTTCAAAGTCGATGAAGTTGAGATAGAGAGGTGACTGCCATTCCAAGCTTTGTTCAATGATGATCCGTAGAGTGGCGATTTGATCAATACATGATTTGTTTCTCCTGAATCCAGCCTGTTCCGGACGAAGTTTTTCATCTAGGGCTTGTTTGATTCTCTCCAGGATGATGCGACTTAGTATCTTGCTTGGAATGGACAGAAGCATAATTCCACGCCAGTTTTTACATTGACTTAAGTCTCCTTTCTTTGGAAGTTTGAATAAGTAACTGTTCTTCCAATCCTCGGGTACTTTGCCCTCTTTCCACACCTTCTCCAGTAGTGGTGTCATCAAGTCCGCTGTTGTCTCTGGGTCTATTTTCAAAGCCTCTGCTGGGATTCCATCTGGTCCCGGTGTTTTCCCAGTTTTAAGCATCTTGATTGCATTCAGGACTTCTGATTTCGTCGGGGGGTCAGTGTTCACTGGTAGTTCTGCTTCCGTTGTTGGTATTGCTGGACGTGTTGTAGGTGGCGGACGATTTAGAAGTCTTTTGAAGTGTTCAACCCAGTGCTTTCTCTGTTCCACCTCTTTGGTGATTGACTTTCCATTGTCGTCCTTTATTGGCTTAATCTGTGTCGAACGTTTGCCCGAAAGGTTCCTAGTTGTTTGGTAGAGTGTGGCGAGGTCTCCTTTGCCTGCAGCTTGTTCTGCTTCGTTTGCCATGGTTTCATAATATTTTCTTTTGTCTTCCCTGGCACTTTTCTTCACTCTTTTGTTCAGTGTATTGTAGCTTGCATTCAGCTCCTGTTTTTGTTGCTCGTCCGTGCACTGGATAATCTTTTGCTTCACTGTCCTTCTCTCTTCTATTAGTTTCCAAGTGTCCGTAGTGAGCCACTGTTTGTCCTGTCTCTTTTTTCTGCCTAGAATTTCTATGCAGGTTTGGCTCCACACCGTTTTCAAGTTGTTCCAGTGCTTTTCAACGCCGACCTCTTCGCTAGTGTTGATTTGTGTCTCGGCTTTGTCCTTTATGCTTGCAATGAAGATGTCCTTTGTAGCCTGGTCCTTCAGCTTTTGAGTGTTGAACTTGGCTTGTGGTCTATCTGCAGCTCCTGATTCCCTGAAAGCTTTTAATTTGATTTGGATTGTCCCTTGTACGAGATAGTGGTCTGAGCCAACGTCTGCTCCTCTTCTTGCTTTTGTGTCCAGTAGGCTGCGCCTCCACTTCCTTGAGATTGAGATGAAGTCGATTTGGTTTTTGGTTTGCCCGTCTGGTGACACCCATGTAGCCTTGTGGATATCTTTGTGCTTGTATACACTGCCACCAATCACCAGTTCGTTGAAGGCGCAGAAGTCGGCGAAGAGTTCTCCGTTTTCATTCATTTCTCCTAGAGCTTCTCTACCCATGATGAGTTCCCTTCCCGTATTGTCTGGTCCCAGTTTGGCGTTCATGTCTCCCATTAGTATTTTCATGTCGCCAGCTGGAGTATTGTCCATTGTTGCCTGTAGTTGCCTGTAGAATTCTTCTTTCTTCTCGAGGTCTGCGTTGTTTGTGGGTGCATAACATTGTATGATTGACACTTTCCTTCCTTTGGAGTTGAACCTGGCGGTCATTATCCTGGACGAAATCGCCTCCCATTGTATCAGGGCTTTCGTTGCCGTTGGTGACATCATGATAGCCACGCCCTCGGTGTGCGTGTGGTTATCTTCTGGGTGACCGGAGTAGATCACTGACTCACCTGTTGACAATTTGGTGAGTCCACTCCCATTCCATCTGCTCTCACATATTCCCAGCACTTGTATTCCGTATCTTTTCATCTCGTTGGCGATCTGGGCAGCTTTTCCAGTCTCGTACATAGTTCGGACGTTCCATGTTCCTACACAGACTTTTTCTTTTGGTGCAAGGAGGTTCAGCATACTGAAGATTCTGTAGCAATTTTTGTTTACAGGGTGGGGTTGCTAGCCTCACGCCTGAGAAAAGAATGATTACATTAAGTAAAAGTTTAGAGAGAAGCAACTTTTTGGGTTGCTCCCCTCAAAATCAGAAAATAACGGACAAACAATGAGAACAACATCAACAAAGGAAACAGTTCACAGAAAAAAGGGCAAAAAGCGACGACAACTATACAATAAGACAACATGCAATATAGTTCAGTACATATAACTAAAATGATATCTTAACCATAAACTCACTGACTTGGAGCAACTTGAACATATAAATCCAACAATATATACAATTAACATGAATGGCTAATTATAATGGAGTGTCGATCCAATTATACATAGCGAATATAGCAGACATGCCAACAAACATATATGGATATATGTCACCAAGCAACGGACTGTCAACAAACACTCATATTATATGTAATATAATATAAGGAGAATACACATTATTAAAGGAGACAAGTTCATACAAGTGAAGTGGTCACAGACTAACCGAGCAAACAGAAAGAGAGACCAACATGCACACACACACATAAATATATATATGTGGATACATATCAGTAAGATTATCCTAACTCACTTCAACACTATTAAAATTGTTATTATAACTATTACTGAGCACCGAGGTCCGAGCACTTCGGTCCAATCAATAGACGGGAAAATCAAAAAATCCAATTCATTAATTAATATGACCCGTTGCATAAGAGGTGGCTCTCGTGGCCCAAGTGGTCTAGTGGATGACGCTTTGGTGTTTGAAACTATGGGTACTGGGTTCGAGCCTCGGTGGGAACATCATCACTCACCGAGAAATGCAGGTACATCCAGCTGACGAGTCCCAAGTAGGACGAAATGCGCATCCTGGATTCCACTGCTAGCCACCATCCACTAATTGCATACAACTATTACTATTGATATTAGTCTGTTTGCAATTCTCGTTATATTCCGTAATGACTAATTGTTTATCTAAGGGATGTAATTGAAGCGTAATGCAATTTATCTTAATTTCGATCTCTCATACTCTCTGTCGCCTTATCTATTTGAACATGACCTGTAAAACATTCGCACGTGTCTTTCTGCATCACTAATTCAATGTAGATTATTTACTTATCAGTCTTATATCTCCCTATGTAATTTCAAAAGTATATATATCCGTGTATGTAGAGTATTCAGCTGGCGAGTTCTACCGAAATTTGATGAATTCATTAAATCCTGCTTTGTTAACCTTTATTGCTTGTTTTAATTGCTATCTGTTGAATTTATTTTCTAAATTATGACATACAATTATTACCGAAGAAGAAAGTGAAAACACAAGAATGTCTAATTATATAACCAAGTGTATACTAAACACTAATAAGACTACAGCAATAACAGTGACGCTCAATATTTTAAGTGTTTTAACCAATACATAAACTTCAGTGGTACACTCTATGGCTGTAATCATATAAGACAAGCTACAGGCCTAGTAAAGATGTCAAGGTAGAACATAATATTGCTAGTCCATCCTAAATGTATGCCTATCACTGCCGTTATCTAAAGAAAGAAAGTGTGAATAAATTAACTACCATTTTTCCTAATAACTTTAGCAAGTGTAAAAGTTGAATATAGTGCAAAAGTATACATCTCATCAGTGTACATCGAGATTTTCTGAAATATGCTCTCCCATATAACAATTTATTCACATGTCATTTTGATGGATACCATAGGATATTGTCACAGAACAACATCAGATAGATTCCCTTAAAATTGAGGTTTCATGAAGAACTGCCTCAATTTAAGGCAGATTTTGTAACCAACCATTCAATAAGAGGAAACTTCTTGACAGCTGTTTCTATCCTAGTTCTTGTCTCCTCAGAGATATAGCACTACCGCTGTTCAAGGCTATCGGTGAGTATCCCAAAGTTAGAACTCGCGGACTATTTGATTCCAATCATGTAGCCGAATGTTTAGCTGACTGTCATAGCAAATTCTAAGTCCTCTGTTCAATCCCAAACGGGGTCGTGAGTGACCATTGCTGAGGAGTCCTAAGCCAGGACGTAGCAAATGTTGTGGTCGGCGAGCGTCCCAACCGCCGTACTACCGACGCACACTACGAGTGGGGGAATAAATTTAGGAAAGGAATTAAGACCATGATAGAAAAGGAGGTTGAACAAACCTGTGTTAACAGACCATTGGCGCCTTCATTATACCTTGTACACGATTGCTGTCGATTGCCAAACAGTTTCCGGTAAAGAATACAAACGTCTAATATCACACAACTGTCTTGGTTGTTGTTTTGTGAAATTAAGTACACAGGATAGATTTTTTCATGTACCAGGTTTTGAGCCTCACGTATTGTGTGACAGCTAATGGTGCTATTCAGCTGCCACGCTGAAGTGGGTGGGAAATGAATCAGTAGTGAAAGTGAGGTGCCTAAGGCCATAATAAAGCGCATATATATATATATATATATATATATATATATATATATTACTCACATTGGTCATTTTGTGAGTGAATCATCTCTTTTTGCAATTTCGCTTATGAAAAGTGAGTTAGTAAATAAAACAGCTTGATACTAATCAGTCATTTACTATAATTCGAACCAAAATCACTTATTATTATTATTATGAAAATTAGTTTTATGATAAGAAAACCCTGAAACACACAAAATAGTATTCTTATAACTTACTTGACAAACAGATGAGGATTTCACCATGTCAAATTTTGAGTTTGTTTTGAGTGAATTTCTACTTACTATGCTTGAACCATTAACTGGCTTATCTTTAGAAGGATGAAGAAGCAATCGACTTTGTGTTTCAGTTTCGTGCAAACCAGGATCACTGTCTAGTGTTTTTCTTCTGTAATCACAACTACTTAAACCACTACTACAAGTAGTAGTGTTAGTGTTACAAGTAGTAGTGACATCTATTGAAATATTTTGTGATTTTAGTGTTTGCGATTTAAATTTTTTCTTGCTTTCATAATTTGATTTAGGCGTACAACTGAAAGAGCGTAGTATAGTTCCTTTAAAATTTGTATTATTCGAACAATTTAATGAAATCCGATTAGATGAATTATTGGTATTTACAATAGGAGAATTTAAATTACTGTTATTATAACTACTATCAAAAAATGAAGGGTTTACGACACTATTTTCTTTCACTTGTACCTTATTATTAATCGACTTTTGAGATAAATCATCTTTTCTACTACTATTATTATTATAATGATTAAATGTAAAAAATTGTTTCATACTAGTGTGCATTTTACGAATACGATGGAAATCAACAGATGTTGGACGATTTCTTGATCGACAATTAGATGGATAAGGATTAACATTTTCATTAGTCGGTGTAACATCATCTGAAGGCGGAATGTATGTTGGACAAGGGTATGGAGATAGAGTAGGAGGATAATCAAAAACAGAATCATACATTATCATGTTATGGATTTCATTCTGTTGATTTGATTCCATATAGTGTAAATTATCAATATTACAATAAGTGTAAGGAGAAACTGTTTCTTTATTTAAAGTAGACGAAAATATACTGTTCTGATAAAGATGTGGATTATGGTGAGTTAGTATTTGACTTGAAGGATGAAAAGATGCCGGTCTAGGTTTACAGTTCAACTGTGATTCCATTCGATGGGTTGATTCGTATACAGATGTAGACATCACTGTATCGGGATAAATATCATAAGTAGCAGGAGAATTTATGTGGTTTTGTACTGGACAGCTATTAAACTGATTTTTATGATTAATAATATGTAAATTTGTATCGGTAATAAAAGTGCTGGTAATGACAGGTTGACACTTTGATGTACTTGATTCATTCCCAACTAAATTATCCCCTGATTTAGCTGACTGACTAAAGGATTGTTTATTTGATTGATCTGCTGATTTGGATCGCTTTTTGAAGTGCTCGATGAATGAGACAAAGCGTCTACCTCTTTTGTCTTGTTTATTATTACTGCATCGCTTGTTCGAAAGAAATGATGCCTTATCTTCATTCGGCATCAGTGTTCTAGACTTTCGAATTGCTGTTAAATTTTGCGAAATATGATGCGAATTATTCACTAGATTCGAAGGTATACGCTCTAGAAAGTTATTCATCTTTCGAAATTATTATCAACTCAGAGTTACATTTATTTCCGAGTGCTAAAGGAAGTAGATTAGCAGTCACTGAGTTCAAAGAAGATAAAATAAAAACATATAAGTTGCTTACATATCAATATTGGTCTCTATATAGTAGCAAAAAGGCATTAAAATTCAAAGTGGTGATGCTGTGTAGTCCCTCCTAGTATGACAAAGTTAACAATCACTGATAAATTATTTGTCAAAACTTTAGCAACCAGAGAATCAACCACATTTACAAACTTATTGATGATAAGCTATTTAAGATTGCTTTTAATTAATTGTTATTTACGAGAAACGGAGTCCATACTAAAGGTGCACACAAAATCCGCATAAGTTATGCAATAAAAAATTTATACTTATGTAGAGTATTGCTACATCCTGTGGCACCTGTAGGTGAGTTCCGAAGATATGCACAATAAGCTTACTCACTGTCTCGAGGGTCATTAATTTCACTATATTCTCCAAATCCCATTGACATTTATAAATTGTGTTTAAAATTATGGGCTTAATTTATGAATGCGAATTCTGAAAATAATGGTCAGCCTAGTAGCATGTGTAGCAGTAGGTACTTTAAAAGTTCTACAAATAGTTTTTGATATATAACAAGAGATACATTGCTCAATCCAAGAAGTTTTGGAGTATTAGTGAACTAATTTATCATAAAAATGATCGTGACAAATTCTACCTAACTAGTAACTATAATTTAGAAACCAGAGGACGGTATCTAAATTATGTCACCTAATTTCTATTTACACAAAAGATGAATTATTTGTACAATATACTTCTTATTAAAAAAAAATAAGGGATTTAATTTTCAAATAGCCTCAATAACTTCATTTCTACATAATTATTGAAAGACTTTTAAATCCTGTTTTCCAGTAAAAATGTTTCATTTAGATCTCTTAAGAGCCCCTAGTGTTGATGGAACACAGTCTATAGTCGGCGTCGAAACTTTTAAATACACTTAACTCAGCTGTTCTGAACAGCCTGAGTTTTGGCTTTTGCCCTACTTAGCATTCTTTATGAGGATATATGACACATGTATGTTAAAACACCTAGACATATTATCTAATAATCAGTGTCAAAGGTAGTAACGTTTTTTGGCTCATATCTACTGAGCTGTGACGAAAAATACACAGACTTCCAGAGTAGCATACTTATGAAAGTCAATCAGATGTCCACCGAGAATGTCTTTTGTAGTATAGACGTGAGTGACTAGAATGGCTTGGTAAAGTAACAATTTAATATTTCTAAACATGTAAAATAACTGAAATTATACTGTAAATCAAATTTGAAGCATCAGACCCGTGAAATGATATTTCCACTTTAAAATGTCCTCGATCATAAAGTCACAAGAAAAATACCCCATTTTGGATGTATGAGAAGAACTTATCTGTGATTTTAAATCCGTCTATATAAAACCATTATTAAGTGATTAGGATCACAGCATTCCAAGCGTAGGTTATATGCCATTTTAAAAGCACTGTGCTATTTAATATCTACGTACAAAATATAGAAGATCAACAGTATATTCAAAGGTGTCAAGTCCCTAAAAAAACTAACTCCTTCATTACCTATTATTTGTTTCCGCTTTGTTATGAGTATGTTGTTGCAAAAGCAGTGAGGATTATCTCGTTTGATTTATTATTACTACATAAATCATCAAATAAAACTAATAAGTCCCTCAAAGTCTATCACATCCAGTGCTAAACTCACTCCGTAATAGTCAGTGTTCTGAAGCAGCCATGAAGCTTAGTTGGCGCTCTCGTTTATAAATCCACGTTCTACATATTTACCGGACTACTACGAAGAACGAAACCCCCAGTTTACTAGACATTAGAGTGAAGTTCAATAATAGCATCCCAAGAGTGCGAACTCTCCAATGACCTTGAACGTATACTAGTCGTTGGCTGACGGCACCTTTCATTATCACAGCTGAGATATCAATGCTATTCACCAAATTTCACTCAGATTACGTTTTTAAGTACGCTCTGGCCAAAGTGTAAATAGCTCCTCAGGGTTAGGACTAGAGTTAAGGTAAGTATGGGGTTATGGTTAGGGTCAGCGTCATAATTAGGACTAGGGTTAAGCTTACTGTTAGGATAAAAGTTGTAATTAAGGTCAGGATTAGGGTTAGAGTTAGTGTTGAGTTCCGGATCAGGGTAAGGATAAGGTTAGGGCTACGATTTGGGATAGATTTGGAGTTGATGGCATTTATTTTAATTTGTTCCATTATCCACATTTTCCTGGTTAGTAGTTGTCGATCTTCTCACTGGAAACCATATTAATTCAACTGAGGGCTTAGAATAACATTGCACAACAGTATAGGGGAGATAAAAGATCCACAAAAACAGCTCATCTCCGGTCTCCTTTGTGAATACATGTACAGAAACCAGTCTAACTTAGCTCGCTCGGCTGAAGGTCACTCGTGCGTTCGCATCCCTTGGGACGCTATTGTTGAACTTTACCAACATTAGTTTGAAAAGTTATTCATCAGTTTGAACAATAAGCTCTTTTACAATAGATTTTGAAAAATCCCACTTTCATGATCAGTTCACTCTTAAACTTGATCAGCATTTTTACCAGCAATACTCGTTTTGTAGTTCTTAAATATGTACCAATGAAGTGAAACAAATAGATATTTTGGCAAGTGACATATTATATTACCTCTAACTTAATGAAAAATTTCAACCTCACTAAACCCTTATGTTGTTATTAAAAGCAACGCAAACTAACTGACGCTTAAAATAAATATGAAAGGAAATACATAGGGAGCCAAATGTTCATTGTCCCAAATGATTAACTCTTTCTGTCTAGTTTAATTTTATTCAGTGAAGACTGAAATGATAGTCGAAACCCGAAAAATAAGGAAACATACTTAATTGACATTAAGACCTGAATTCGAATTTTCAGTAGATATATTCCGATGAGATTCTTTTCAGGCTATAGAAATATTTGGCTATTTATTGGGTTGCGTTATTGCCTGCACAGAATTGCTTTTTAAATAAATGACTTTAGAAACCTGGGTTCTTACGAGTTAAAAAATTCACACACATATTCAAAATTGCCCATTGCACTAGATTAACTCGACTTTCGTATGTGACATAACAGATTTTGTTCATGCTTTACAGTCGGACATGAAATCTACGTAATGAAATCTAAACAATGTACATTGTGTGGTACGCAGATAATTTTCCATATATTTCTATTACACAGCAAGATAACTTATATATTCAAGGCCTTTTCTACCAACTCATAGGCCGAAAGAGACCAAGAGGTTGCGGAATCGGCAAATTAGATAAAAATCCTAGATTTTTAAACCTGGAAGTACAAATTTGATAAGATTATGTTTAACACAACGGCCTGAAATTTCAAAACAGCCATCTATATATTTTAGGATTCATAATTTCAGGTATTGATATATACTGAAATCTGAATTTGAAATCTTGAGTTATATATTCAGTATAATCTCGTAGCATTCCCACACATGAGTCACCATGGAGGCAATTCAGCCTATGATAATAGAAAAACAAAGAACGTGCATCAAATATTTGTCTGTCAAAACTAAGAACGTTCGAGGGAAACATAAAGCAACGCAAAACAATATAGAATATAAAAATCCCTATTATTAGTCCCTTTCATCGAATTAATATAACTCTAGCCAAATAAAAGACACCATTATCACACCTTTTCATATGCTCAAAATAGAAACGTCTTAAAAGACGGCATAAACACAACAGTAAACTCACAAAACCCATAGTGAACGCACAATGTTTCAGAGTTCTCAAATTGTTGCCAAACCTTGAAGTACATCACTATTGAAACAATAAAACAAAGCATTCCAAATAAGCAACAGAGCTGGTTAACTAACACATTTCTAATACACATCAGCGAAACTGCCATAGAAAACCAAGATTCAATGAAATCCTGTCCATAATATGTCACCGGATACATTATTAACTAACCATTATCTATATCAGATGAGTTCGTTCAATTCAGAGCACATATGTGAAGTGGTACCTTAAGTATGAGTGATAAGCTACGACCAGTTGTTCACATACCAGAACTTGATGATAGAATAGGTTTTTAGTGATTATCTAGGGGTATATTTACTGTCCCAAATACCATGCTGTTTTTTCTTCATATTTTGACTACAGTGGTCCTTAAACTTAAGTCACTTTTGCCGATACTGTGTAAAGCAAACACCCAGAAAGCCGAAAGGAATTATCCTTAGAGTCTGGACTATATTGCCATTCTGGTAAGTCAAAGGAAGAATAAGCGTAAAAACAAAGAAAAACTGGTAGAATGCATCAATTATTAAATTCTTAGACCGAAGTTTAACTTAAGCCACAAAGTATCAATCTTTATAAACAGAAATTCAAATAAGAAGTTTATTTAGAAATTACCAGGATGTTAGGTGACCAACAAAGCTAAGAGCAGAAACTGATTCTTAGATAGGTGCTTTTCGATTTATTCCTTGCCACAGTGCAGTCGATATTACGAGGGTCATGAGAATGAATCAATCAACAGAACCGTTTTTAAAATCCACAGTCTGACATCCACAAAGATTCAGTTTAAGACACTTCAGAGCCACTACCAGTTGACTTCAGAGAAGAGAGCGCTCGTTTCAGAACTACCTGATGCAGAAAGAGTTCACACAGAAATCGACATATCTTTGGCATCCTTAATGGAATTAGACCTAAACGAATATGGTAAGTTGTGCAAAAATAAAAAAAGAACTGTGGGAAGTTCAGCATCTTCAGATGAAGAATGAACTGCATACCGCCAAATACAGTTCTGTGCCTACTTCCTCGAAAACCTATATGTTACCCAGGGCTCGCTGTATGCTACTGTCAGTTGCTTAGCAAAAGTGCCATGGGGAACGAAATGGTAGTCAGTAGAGTTGTTCAAGGATGCGTGTCAGACAAACCTTGCACTTTTATCTAGACTGCAAAACAATATTGTGGTTCGGTAGGACGGTAACAACTGATGTGCTTCTGCCGCATTTATGAGCAAATTTTTGGGTTTAAATCAGCATTTAAGAGCTAGAAAAGTAAAATTTTCCCATAATCTCCAAAAATTGAGACTGACCAAAACTTCAAACCAATTGAGAAGCCGAAGATTTTGCTACGAGTGCAATCGTTTTATCCTTCCAAATAACAAGTATCCCGTCACTGTAAAATAATCAATTAAAGAATCGGATAGGCAGAGTGATGCAGAGTATTTTCACAATTTGGAAGCGAAATTGCTCAGCACACAACCAGGAACCGGGATGTGTGATGGGTTTAAGGTTTGTGGGCATGTTAAGATGTCTTGTTCATCAAAATTTGGAAGGTACGCATTTGTGTGACTACACATTAGACAGTAGAACCATATAAAGCTGCTGCCTTAGAAAAGACCAGTCTGAGCCAAGGAGATCCGAACAGGCATCAATAGAAAGTTGTTGATTTAACAGAAAGTTTTCATGTGTATAGAGCATATTCGACTAACAGACATCCTCATGATATTTTCATTGCATTAGGTCTTTGAACCTTCGGTATCATCAAAACGTCTGTTCTCCTAAAGCCGGAATAATTCGGAGATTCATGTAAACACCGTTTATCTCTAAGAAGCTGAGTTGCTAGTAAGATATCCTATAAAACCTCATTAGAGGAATACCAGCAGGGCAGTAAAAGTCTAAGCGTATCTTAAGAGAAAATGCAATATTAAGTATAATGATATCTACCATTTAGCTGGAAAATGTCCCAGTCCAAATCCATTATTATGTACCTAAGTGAATCCAAACTTTCATCTGAATAAGATTGTTCTTAAGACCTCTTTGCCACATGAACAAAACTCCACTTCTCTCATTTGGCATCTACTCTATGGAATAAAAGAAGTTAAATTGTCGGCTATAAAACTGTGCTTTATTGACTCCGAGCTACGCCCATCTACAGCAGTTTCTGCTACCCTCTGTATTCCATCAGAGTATGCGTCCTGAATCTATTCCGTGACCATTATATAGATTCGAAAACTGATCATCTCGCAAAGACGGCTGTATGTCCAACCTTATAGCCGTATTTAATAATCAGCTTTATACCGAAAAAGTAATTATAATACAGAATGGAATTCGCTGCTTCTTTCCTATATTGCATTTGATTTGCTCAAAGTATAAATAAGAGTAACCAAAGGAATTTGTCCACATTCGCAGTAGGATTAAAGTCAAAAATGTGCAAAGTATAGAATGTAATAAGAATAACAGTCGAATTGCTTCAAACAGATGTGTCGATGCAATGGAGAAATTTTAGCGTGTGTGGAGCATTGAATCTAATGTCCTCTGGTTAAAGCATCAGAAGGGAAAAATAACAATCGTTGCAGATCTTGGATGACGTTTCCACTTAGCGGTAGCCATAATAATCATAGTCTCAGAGCCTAACATCAAAAAAGGAGGGAGGGTGGTGTCAGCTGATCAGTATATATGGTGGGGGTCACTAAGGTGAATCGCCCCATTCTGCAGGAACAGCAATATACAAATTAAAGGCTCGAGATATTTCTGAATTTTATGAGGGCTTAGATCTTTATCTTGAAAAAGATAATAATGAACGCCTTGACAGATCATGCTTCTACCTTTAAATATACCATTCACTCAGCCTATTGTTGAGATGCGACCACGCGGGATCTGCACAGATTTATGGGGCATCTTATAAACTAACTTGCTGTCCATTGTCTGATCTTTAAATACCACTTCACAATGTCTTATCTCATTCATTTTCCAATAACGTCTTTACTTGATCCTCATTATATCCCATTAAACCTAACATTTTACAGCTCTTTATGACTTATTATATTCCTACTCTCTGAAGGGTTCGGTTGTGCACTAAATGGACAAAAAGGTATAAAACAAAAACAACTGGCACAACTGAGGATAAATGTATTAAAACCAAAAGTGGACATCATGATAGTACGAGATATACGTGTAGCATTATACATTGGAAATGAACGTTGTCAGCCTAGGGAGTTTCCTTTATTAATGCATTTATTAGTGATACTTGCACTTACCCATTTTATTGCACTTTATTGATCACCTTAGCACTTTTACTTTTCTAAAAACAGCTTTCAATCCCTTGTAAACGTTGTACTTACCTCAATATTGGTTGGTTATCGTATGCCGACAACCACGGGATGAACACGAAACGAAGTCGATTTTCCCGCTCAACCTGGAGGACAATTGTACAATTCAATAACTATACAGCCTAGTTCAGACAATGAGTGTATTTATATATATATATATATCAAATATTTAACTGTTGAAACATTATTAACTTGTAGACAATCTACGATTTGATATTATATCATATATATATATTATATATATATATTACTTGATCGTGCCTGTAAAAATGGCATGCATTTTCATGTAAATTTATATGTTTATATGAGAATATACATTATTATTATTATTAAAAACAAACAAGATGACAGGTTTAAAAATAAAAGAACAATAATAATAATAGTAAATTTGAACAAAGCAAGAACTATAGTTTTAGCAGAATAAAATGGTACCATCTTTTATTTCTTTGCCTTCTCGTCAGCTGCTTACATGGCAAAGACATTATTAAATATATTTACAACAACAATTTTAACATATTTGCACAGAGTTAAGTTTAAACAAAAGTCAATCGATCCATATACTCATATACTAAAAATATATACATATATAAATATGCAATATTAACCACTATTCCGAACAATAATAATCAAACACAATGGAAACTTTTAGCATTTCACATTCGGAGGAAAGAGAGGTGAAATTATCCAGTTACCAGAGCAAAGAAAGGCTGATAACCGCTTGTTTCTGGACGCATAAATCAGGTTTCAGGCGCTTGATGGAAATGGCTTCAGCAAACTTGAGGAGATTTGAGCTATTTTGCTTATTGATAATTTTGAACTTGTTGTAGATATATTTAATAATATCTTTGCCATGTAAGCAGCTGACGAGATGGCAACGAAATAAAAGATGGTACCATTTTATTCTGCTAAAACTGTAGTTCTTGCTTTGTTCAAATTCATTAAGGGGAATAAATGTATGAAATAACAGTAAAGCTAGGCGGAATCTGTTAAGATTAACGACACTTTTTTGGTACCACCCCTACGTCAAGTGGCGTAATTCAAGATAGTGTACTATGGCCTCTCCTCTTACATATCTTAATGACACATGTGATGTTATAAATCATGGCAGTCCCTTCCTATATGCTGAGACCTAAAGGTGGTTTACTGCAGTACCACCCGAGAAGTGACAAACCTGCTTGATAAAATTCAATCGGACATTGATAATATTGAAGCTCATTGTGAATCATGGATGATGCAGATCTACGTGTGGGAGTGTGGTCTTTATACTCAGCTCGCCTTCGTATCGTACTATACATGTTTGTATACGGTAAGCCAATCGTCATTCTTCGATCGGTACTCGATCTTGGGCTATGTTACTCTGCTGACTTTAAATACTCTCTATGTTACCAATCAAGTTTCTAAAGTTTCATAATTTTCCAACACAATAATCTGTACAAAATGCACATACGGCCCCCACTTGAGTATCCAACATCCAATATCGTTTTTACGAGCTAGTATAAACCAATTTGATTTCTTTGTGCCCGCTTCTTGATTGTAAGGTATAGGTTACTGATCTTCAGTAAACTTCTGTGTAGCTTGTCTTGCCACTCGACTGTCGTAGCTTTGGTTGACTCCAAAAGGAGTAGTGCTGGGATTAATTATATGTGGTTTGTAGTATGAGGTATGTTAAGACTGTTACTACTGTGATTGGAGTTGATCC